AAAGCGTAGTCCCAGAGCTTTCTTTAAGGTAGTATCACCCGCCTCCTGTACTAGCTAACGTGCATGCAGGAATTCGCATTCGCACGCACGCGCGTGCGTGTCGTGCCAAGCCGAACCAAACTGAAGGCAGCAGGAGCGAGAGGTCCTTCCTTTCCTCCTTCTCAAGTTGTTTTATCATGCAATTCAATGCGAGGATACAAATAGTGGAGGATGAAAGGTTTCAAATCCGATGGGGGATACGTGAGTTTCAATTTTTCCAAGTGTCTGACTTTGTGAATAAATTTCTCATTCAACCGAGCACCATTTTTGGCGCACAATATATCGAAACACTTGTCTCACTTGAGAAATTTATTGTCCATAATTAGTTTGGAGAAATAATATTGTGGAATCCACCGAATTTGCGTGTGAAGTTATCCTGTTACAAGCCAAAATTCCAACAATCCCCCACATTAATGAAAAGTAATTCATGTGCTTGGCAATAACTCTACAGTTTAAAACTGCGAGTAGGGGTGAGCATGTACCAAACCGATACTGAAATTTCCTGAAAATATCGAGTTGAGTGATCCCCGGGCGCCTGATCGGTTCTAAGACCTTATGTACGTACATACTCAACTCCTAATATCGCCCACATCTATACACTCAAATCCATACTATTTACCACTAGAAATAATCTAGATTTAAACTAACCAAAAATACCTTTTTGGTTATTAATGTCGCCATCAAAATCATCACTTCTACGAATTTGAGTATATAAAGTTTTACCATAAAGTCTCCAACACAATATCATCCAAAATATCTCTTTTAATCACTGTAAATCATTTAATCATGTTCATGGATTGGATCATGTGAGAAACTCAAGTTTAACCCACATAATATAGTATTATAATTTTTTTAGTCTAACCCGTCCAATGATATCGTTTGATTAATAACACATCTTGGAAAATATGATTTGACATACTCAATTTTGGTATTAGAGTCCTTCTAGTCCAAAACATTCATTTTAAATACTTTTGGAAGTTATAATATGTTTATAAGTCAATCAAACCAATACCAAACATTTATCATCCATTTTAAGTATTTTTGGAAGTTAAAATTTGAGTTGGAACGTCGGGTGATCGATCCTCGAAGGAGTGATCGAATCAAATCTTGGCATTAGAGTTCTTTTAGTAAAAAAACATCCATTTTTAGTGTTTTTGGAAGTTAAATTATGGTTATAAACCCATCAAACAAATACCAAAGATTTATTATCCATATGACATCGAAAAACGGTTCAACTCCGAGTTGGAACGTCGGGTGATCGATCTTCCAAGGGGTGATCGATCCCCCGACTCTTAAAAACCTGCGTTTTAGTAAAATTTACCCGAGAGGATCGATCCCCCGAACCTTAAAAATGGGTTCTAGGGCTATTTTCCATCGTCAGGTGATCGATCCAACTTCAGGGATTGATCCACTGACGGTTCCTATGCGTTTTTGGGTTCGTTTTAAGCTACGGAATGGTTCCAAAAGTGTATATATTGATTATATACTCTACTTTGAATCTCTAAGTAGTGTAGGAATATTTTAGGCACAATTTTGGGCATTCTCCGTCATCGACGATTCATGGGTATCAAGTTGAGCGTTTTATCGAGACTATCGATATGACTAACAGAAAATGACATGTAGGTATATGAAATCATGTATTATGAAAAATTCTAAGGAATCTCACGTCGGAACGAGTCTGGGATACAGACCTTAGAGTTCGTAGGGGAACACAATGATCTTAACACCTCACGTACGTTCAACGAACGGACGTCACTATCTACTTCTAGCTTTCCTTTTCTTGAGGTCTTCTCTTCGAACCTTGATATCGTAGAGTTTTATGGCGTAAGGAGAGAATTAAAATGAGTATAATAATGATAGGATGGAACATAACAACTTACCTAGAGTTTTCTTCCCAAAACTCCATTAATGGTGGAAAAAGCTTAGAGAAGAAAGAGTGGAACTTGCAGGGATTTCTTAAGTCTCAAAATGTGATGAATGAAGGACACTTCTATTCCATTATATTGGGAAGTGCAGGAGAGTGGAGGTTAATGCATCACAATCACAACCACCCAATCACTTCAACCATGTCTAGCCAAATGAGAGAGGTGGAGGTGATTGTCAATGTTGGCTACCCACTAAACAAGAAGATGTGATGATGGGAAGGAGGTAATGGTGGGGAAGAGGTTAGGGAATCCTAGGAATTATTTGGGAGAGTGAATATGGGATTTGGGATTAAATCCCTGTTCTAGAAGAAATAGTTTATCTGTTTGAATTTCGGGTTATTTTCCAAACGGAGTCCGATTTCGAAACCGATAACATTTTTGAACTTGGAAAAATAAATGGAACTCAAATACGTAATAAAAATATTTTCCCTAATATTTTTATTTTTCAGGCCGTCAGGGCCCACACGGTCAAAATCGGTGGTTTACGTAGTTAATTCTTCTAGACCGGTTTTCATGGCGTTACAACTCTCTCCCTCTTAATAAAATTTCGTCCTCGAAACTTAAGTAAGGAAAGAAATCCTACAACGATGTCCGATCGTATTTCACATTATGATGAGATTTGATTACCCTAGTCGTTTTCTCGTTTATGAAATATGTTTTGAGCGGATGGAAAATTTAATTCGGGAGGATAGGATTTACGAAAGGTGTATTCGATGATATCAAGTACTTCTCATTCTAACCCATTCATGTGTAACTATTAGTAACACCAGTTTACCCAAAAATCCAATGCTCTGTGGTTTTCGAGTGGTAAAACCATTCGTTGGTAATCCTTGTACAGGATCCAATGTTACCCATAACACATCCGAATCGAATGTAACCTTTATTTATAACAAAAAATAGGGAAGAAACACTTTATATATTAACAAAACATTTGTAGAATTCTGATATTAATCATGTTAATCTTTCCTTTTCGTCAATTGTTTCAAAAGTCATGTTTGAACAAGACCTTCAGTGTACTTTTTGGGATAAATGTTGAATATTAAATAACTCTTCTCCTAGCAGAGAATAATAACTTTTATTAAAAGCTGATTGATTAAATCCGAGAGAGACGTTAAACAGTCTAAAGAGGTTTGTTTAAATCCACGCTACACTCAGCTAGCGAGTGACCAGGTTTGTTACACTTATTATCGTCAGCACTTTTTCTTTTTCTACTACCGGGCTTTGACGTGGTAGCTTGTTCCTTCCCTTTTTCTGCCTCACCGCATCATCTAGAAATTTGATTAGGTTATTAAAATAACCATCGATGTTCAAGAGCCAATGGGTTTACTGTGTAACCCTTCATATACCCATGAGATCAAAGTGATCAAACGTTCTATAATATCAATTCCCCCGGGAAGTATGATGAAAGCTTCTACAACATGATTCATTTCGAAGTACATATAGTAATTGCTGGAAACGGTGTACTCTGCACCTTATGTAGGTCCGTAGACCTGTCGTGCTGCTATGTACCCTGGTATGAAGCCTCTAACTATACCACCATTGGTATAGACTATTGAAGCAACAGCTCCTTGAAGGCCAACGTTGCCTCCTCCATTGGGTAAGCCTAATTTTTCGCCTTACCAATTCCCTTCCTAAATCTACCGTCGTAGCCATGAACTTTGGATTTCTACCAAGAGCATGACTACCAAGTAGACCAATGAATTTTATGGTGTAAGGAAAAGTTCGAGAAGTTCCTTCCATAATTTGAGAATGTGAGATACTCTT